TTCACTTTGTAGATCCTTTGGCAGCTCCAGAATCGGAAATTCTTTTGACATAATCGAAAGTTCAAGCTTACTTTTATAAAATTGCTCTAACAGTCTGCAAAAAATAATAAGCCGGATCCAATTCGAAGATTAAGGAACAACGCAATCTGCAACATTAACTGAAATAGATAATTAGATAATTTTAGCTTAGCTTATACCGTCCGTTATACATTAAACGTGCATGCGTAAACGTATTATGCGCATGCGTAAACGTATATGCACATAATACCTTTGCGCAATAGCTTTTACGCATGCGCCGAAAGTTTGTAGCTTTGAGGTCCGGATTATGGACGTCCGGTTTAAAGACTTTTGACTGTACATCATACTGTTATGTGCAGACGGATTCGTAATGGATTAAATGCACATCGATAATAGCTTGACAAAACTTATTTTCCCAAAAGAAAAACTTTACAGTTCTGGAACTGTCCACAAAAGTACTCGTACAACTCTTCTCAGTATCATTGAGCACAATTAATAGTTACACTTCAAACTTCTAAAAACATTAAACGCAAGTCCTGCCTGCTCTCTTTGGTCTCATATAGCTTTCACCCAGCCACCGAGAAATCTCTAGTACATTCCCTTTCTCAAAATTACAGGAAGGCATAAATGGTTAACATTATATAACAGTATCTATAAGTAGGGACTGGACTGAAAGGTCGCCAAGTTTCGCGATCAAAACTGGTCGCCAAAACCGTCAGCAGGTTGGCGATTTTGGCGCCAATTTAATGAGATAGCCGTTTATTTAATTTAAAATAACATACAATTTAGATTAAAATGCTAACCAAATAATGATTATTGGAGGAGTCAAAGAATAAGAATCAGCATAATATTTGTAAATTTTGCAGGACTAGTTTCAATGGTTTAACTACTATTTTGTCTTTCAGCAGCTGAGGAAGATGGTTCTGTAGTTAAACTATCAATACAAGTCCTGCAAAATTTACAAATATTACACTGAAGCTTGTTGTTTGGCTTCTCCAATAAGCATTTACTTAACGTTAAAACAGACTTGGCCCCTGTAATCTTACCTTTCCGGCAGAGCTTCGTTTCTTTCAAGCATTTCAAGTATATATATATATATATATATATATATAAACAGATAATTTCACTAAAATTATTTGCATATATACAAAATTCGTAACAATATTATTTTATGCATTTCTCTTTGTAAGTTTACCACTACAGACAGATATTAATTCTATGTAATTTTACCTTTTTGATTATTTAATTAACTTCGCAGCCTTTTGTGTGACATTAATAATAATTACCGTATTTGACAGCATATAAGACACACCCTTACTTAGAAGGCCACACACAAGGGAAAAAGTTTGAATAGTTCTCACGTTTCGTAAAAGCTAAATAAACAATCATTGAATGCAATTACTAAACATATTTTTATTAAGGAAAATTAAACGGCAAGCTATTTTGAACATGATATGTAAATTTCAATAATGAATAAATGAATGAACGGCAAGCAATCAAACATAATACAAAATAAAGCAGAAACAACAAAAAACACAGATTCAAGGAAAACGTTGCCTTTCATAAAATAAGACTTTCAAAACCATAAAATTCCTTTTTACTATCATCATTATCGAAAACGAGAATATCGTCATCACTACTGTTTCCGTCATTGCTAGTATCACCTTCTTCGAATAATGCGTCGTCTTTTATTCCGCCAAGAGCATTACTGATTCCACACTTCTTAAAGGACTTAACAATTACTTCAGCCTTTACGTCCTCCCAAGATCTTTTTACTCACTCGCACACTTGCGAAATTGAGGGCCGCTTCATTCTACCTGAGGGTGTGAAGACGTGATGTGCCTCTCCTATCCACTTGTTCCATCATTCTTGCACTTTTTCCTTAAATGGCTTATTCACCGATACATCTAAAGGCTGCAATTGGCTAGTTAGTCCACGAGGAATGACAGCTATCTGGGTTTTTAATTCTCTTGCTTTATTTTTTATGGTTTCAGTCCTATGGGTGCTAAATTGATCCAAAACCAAAAAGAGAGGGTTTTCTTAAGAGTCCACCAAGTCGCCTTGCCCATACGTTCTCTAATCAGTTTCATCCATCCAGCCTTTCGGATGAACATGAACAATTACACCCGTTGGAAGTTTTGAATATGAAAAACGGCGGTAGTTTTGTGCCATCAGCACAACATGTTAGAACTACCGTATATCGGGTTTTTTTCATGACCTGTAGTTTTTATGGTTATTGATTTAGACCCTTTATACTCACAGTCTTGTTGGATGGTACATCAAATGTAAGTGGAATTTCATCCATATTTCCTATTTGACCGAGCTCAAAAGAAGTTTTCTTGCATACATTTATAACAAACCTATGAAATGCTGGTATTTTTTCTTCATAATCTGCTGGCATTTTCTGTGCAATAGTTGTTTTTATGCGCACTGATAAGCCTTGCCTTTTCATGAACCTGTAGCGCCAACCCTCAGACCCTGAAAAGTTCTGATTCCCATGTTTTTCTGCAAATCCTTTGGCCTCATTGATTATCATTTTAGTTGAAAAACTTATCCCAGATTTCCTCTTATCTATCACCCACATTTTTATGTCATTTTCAAGTTCAGGCCAAGATGGAGCTGGGCATTGAAGGTTATGTTTTTGTTTTTTAGCAGTCTTAAGTTGATCTTCCTGCAGTCGCCAAGTAAGTATCATTTTTTGGTAGGTGGTGGACCGAAATGCCTTGCTGCTGTTCTGTTTCCATGCACTTTGGCGTAGTTTAACACTCCTAGTTTATACTGAATTGTATAGCTTAATCTCTTGTTTCCTGTAGTCATATTTTCCACGGTATTTTTTAAAACAAATAGTTTTAAGCACCGATAACGACACGTTTATACAGAGCACCGATACCGACACATGTGTCGGCTGAGTCAAAGAAAGTCTATCTAAAGAAGGAAAGGCTCCATAGACGTAATGTGACCGTCGAACCTGTTCAAACTACGACATCAGCTTCGAGCTTTGGCGCTTTTTGGTGACAGATATTTCACGCATGTGCAAAATAATTATGGCAGATGTAGAAAAAGTTATGTGTGTCTAGTAGTCTAGACCTTTATCCGGGCTAAAAATAGCATTCAGTATTGAAAGTTAACCTGTGTCCTTCACGTATAAGACGCAGATAACTTTTTTGAGACCAAATTTAGGAAAAAAAGTGCGTCTTATATGCTGTCAAATACGATATTCATTAAGTTTTTCAAATTTATGATCTGTAGTATATATATCGAAAATTTAAAAGAAATAATTAAACACAATATGAACTCAACCTGGTGTAAGTACTTGGAAAATATAAAATTAAAATATGTGTCAGCAACTGTCCAGCACTGAGATTAAATAAGTACATAAAAATAGAGCAAAAGTATAAAATCATGAAGTCACAATGGAACCCTGGCCATCCAACCTTCCGTTTAATCGAATCTGGTCAGAAGAAAACAAAAGAATTCTGTAAAATCACAAATTATTGAGCATACACAAGAGAACAGAGTTCAAGTTTCGTTGTTGACCTAAATTCTATTAGTATGAGTCACTACACTGCAGTCAGCAGTCTGTGCCTGCTCAGTTCGTTGTACCTCAGTACCAAGTTATATATGCTGATGAATTAAGATTTTGTTTTTCTTTGTTCTTGTGACAGTGCTTGATTTATAGAACAATACTTTAATCTAATATTTATATATATTTGTGGTGTGTTGCAATGGCTTCAGAGAGAAAAAAGGTGTATGTTTCTATCAATTAAAAACTGAAAGCTTTGAAGAGATTGGACAAAGGTGAAAACTTTTATAAAATGGTACAAAATTGACCATTTGAGACTGGAAGAGGAACCAAAAGGAGATATAAGAGGTGTGTTCTGAGCAGAGTGACAGCTAACGTTGTAAAAAAAAAAAAAAAAAAAAAAAAAAAAGTGAGCATGAAAAAGTTGGTGAAGTTTTGTTTCTTAGATTTATAAACACAGAGATAAAAGTGTTCCAATATCTGTACCAATCCTACAGAAAAACCCCTTCAAATTTTGAAAGAATTTAACAAGGATAATCCTAACTTTACAGCCAGTGACAAATGGCTCGATAGGTGAAAGAAAAGGTGTGGCATATGGCTGTGATGAAGCCACGAACTGTATGTAGAGGAAAAACTTTAGCAAATGAGTTGGAGAAAAGCTTCATAAGTTGTTGGACAAGAAAAACTGGTAGCCAAATATTTAATTGTGATGATACGGGACACTTACAAAATGCAACATGCTAAAACAACTCACAGCTAATCTGGCTGAAAGAAAACGTCAAACAACTAACAAACATAAGCGAATTACTGTCTTTTTATTTATCAGTATAAATGTATAATTTATTCAAGCTACCAGCATGTAATTTTTGAAATAATGAATCTATTTTGCCCATTTTAAGCGTTGCATTGGCTATTTTCCACATCATCCAACCAGGTCAAAGCCAATTTAGGTCGCATGATTGGGATTCTACTGTAGCGGAAAAAATAAAGAATTTAGATCTCTAAGCAATGCCTGCAGGGGCCTGATATCTCGAGAGAAGTAAATTGTTCAGCCTGTTTCTGAACTTATAATGGCATAAATTTATTAAATTTAAAACTTCAATAAACTACAAAACAATTTTTTATATGTATTAAATGGCAATTTAACCAAATTAATGCATTTCCCAGGAAGATGCTAAAACTGTATAAAGAAACCTATTACATTTTATAATTATGAATCAGAATTAATGATGATCCCTTATTATTTTTTAAATTTGTTTATAATTTATTTAAAGTGAATATAACAATCATATTGAAATTTCTAATACATTATAGATTATTCATATTTTGATGTTCCAGACCAATTTCTGAAGATGTAATAATTTGAAACATCAAAATCTGAATAATCCACGAGAACCATAGCTTCAGAGAACTTTCTTTGAGCATTTAAAGATAAAATTTAAATATGCAATAAAAAGAATTTTCATTTTCCATTTCATTTTATTATGTATTTATTTTTACCTTTACTTGGATTATTCAAATTGTGATGTTCCAAATTATTACTTCTTGAGAAGTCAGTCTGGAACTAAAATTTGAATAATTTGAATAACTGAACAATTTGAATAATCTATAATGTAATATAAAATTCATACTACTCCATTTTGAGGAACTGTAAAAAATTGTCAAACTATTATTAATACAAGTGATGCTTAATTAATTGTGGTAAATCTAACAAAATTCACAAGTTCGGTTTCACACAATTCATGAGTTTAGTTTCTTTTTTGCAGGAAATAAATATTTATTTAACGCATTTCTTTTTTTGCTACCTGCCATGAATTTCACAATTTGAGAAAATGTCCTTCATTGAGCGAAAATAAGTGAGAAAGTAAATTTGGTTTGATGGTTACAAAACCCCTTCCTCACAATCCTTAAGTTCATACATTTCTGGTGCCAAAAGGTGACATCAATTAAATTTTGTGAATTACAACTTAAGATAACATAACCATAATATGACTGTTGATGCAGGAGATTTCCACAGCAGCTTTAATAGCTTGGCCAACAGTGAAAATTGGTGGAAGCGACAAGATTGTAGAAACAGACATAAGCCTTTTCACTAGGTGAAACAGTAGGTTCTTCCACAATGATGGGTTTTAGCTGGACTGTGCCGAGAATCCAGCGAATGCTTTGTAATTGCAGTTCTTGATCGATCTGCAAAAACTTTACTGGTTGTCATTGAGAGATACCATCTTCGAACATTTCACCGTGAACCACAAATTTCACTTTGCTGATCCAGAAAATGGATAAACCGTAAAGTGTCTTTAGGGAAGCATAACAAACAGCATTAAAGCACGGCATCGTACTTGACTGAGTTTATATGCCGATGAATGCATAAAAAACTAACTCTTTTTCTTCAAAACTATTAAACATTTTATGCTTCCTTAACAAATTAATAATTCAAGATTAGGAACTAGATTTTAGATTTTGGCCTTACTTTCTGTTTGGTGTTTGATTTGGCGAAGAAAATCTTATAAATAAACACTTCAATAAAAACTCTTTAAATATTTTTATTTCATTTCTAGTTTCTCTTCCTATTTCCAGTGCGTTTTGACCATTCATTTGGGTTTCTTTTAGTTTTTCCACTTTTGTTTGTTCTGATGCCCAATAAAGCAGCCCGACTGTAAACATCATTTTTAGCAAACGGAGATGGCAGAATTTCATAGTCTGGACTTAATGCATCAATTTTCTGCAGAGCAGATTTGGGAGGTTTGTTCTGTGGAATTGGCTGATCTTCACACAACACAGGATTGACTGCATGCTTACCTCCTTTAGGCATGGGTAGAGAGTACTAAAAGTAAAATGAAAGAAGGAAGAAGTTAATATCATTCTTTTACTATTTCAGAAGCTGTACATACAAGAAAAACAAAAAAGCATATTAAAAGACATATCTTTTACTCTTATTAGGAGAAACTTTCCTAATAAGGAGTAATAATTACTCTTATTAGTACTTAAAAATTACTCTCCTAATAATTACTCTTATTAGGAGAAAATTGAAATCAGCAAAATAAATGCAATTATTTTTAAAATAGACTAGATCTGCAAATTAACTAAAAGTAACAGAAAAAATTGATTGGCATAATTTATCACATATTTCAAGCTATTTTAGACATAGCAGAAATGTCAAATATACAGAATAGACATAAAAATGCTTCCTTGATATATGAACCCCCCCAGCAGCCTATCCACTCAATCAATCGAAATGAAATGTCATATATTATTTGAAGGTATGTGCTTAAGATTTTGATGATTTAAAACAATGCTCTCATGGTTCACATTGAAAAAATTTTGAAATTTTCTATTGGCAGCACCCTCTTTTTTTCTTGCCCAAATTTTTCAGGGCATAAGAAAACAGTAAACAATATTGGAACGATATACTGTGACAAAAATTGCTCATGTAAAAGATTTGCAAAGAATAGCATTGTAAAGACCAAGGAACACACAAGAGAGGAGAGAGAAAAAACTTTTATGGGAATTACAAGTTTTCAATGTGCATACCTTCACAGACGGTAACACTGAAAAACAATCAAAATGAATGTGGTAGATTGTTGACACAATAATGGCAAGCATAACATTATAGGAGGAATCTGTATAACTTCATGTTTTATGGCATCTTTCAATTACGACAAATCTCATGGGTTTGATGTGTATCTATCTTGGAACGTTGTACACATTGAAAACTTGCAATTCCAATGAAAGTTCTTTCCCTCTATGCTTTTATGTTATCACTAGTCTTTTAGAATGCTCTCTGCATATGTTTTATAGACAGATGTACTGTTCCAACATTATTTACTGGTTTTCAATGCACTGCTCAATTTGCATAGGAATTAGTGGGTGTTGTCATTTCAAAACTTCAAAATTTTTTTTAACTGTAACTGTAACCATGAGAGCTGTATTGTTTTAAATCATCATAATCTTGAGTGCATACCTTCAAATAACAATATGTGAAATTTAATTTCTATTCATTAAGTGGATAGGCTACTAGGGGTTTACATATGGGAAAGTTTCTTTATGACCACCCTATACATAGCAGAAATATATTTTCCATTAGATATAGCTGGAAACACATGGAATGTGAAGTTCTTCTTAAGAATGAACATATTATAACTGCAACAGCAGGTATTTCGACATTTTGTTATGATCCTTTATAATGTTTTCTTATGATCTGTAATGATTATTACTGATTTGCACAGATAATTTAATATCTAATGTACACCATGAAAGTAAAGAAACCTGTATTATGCGTAGAAACTCTACCGATTTCGAGGGCATATAAAGTCCCTTTTCATCAGAAGCAAAGAAATCTGCAACTGAAAAACCAAGTTACGAACATATTCATATACACTAAGGGAATCAAGAGATATGAGAGAGTTAATAGCCATCTGTTGGTAGAAATAATAATGAAAATTGAAAAATTAGGATAATAGAGATTTAAAAGTGTTAGGTAGGTTCACCTTTTCGGACATAAGATTCATATTCCTTAATGCAAAACCTTAATTAAACCTTTTGGTATGACCGATACATCTTGAACAACACTGACAAGATTTGCTATTAATTCCCCAAGAATTGAAGTCAAAAATAGTATCTTTAAGTGAACCATGGATTTTATTGATAGGCTTGAACTGACTTGAACATTTGGAGAATTCTTGCAATTTTGTAGCTTACAGAAGGATGAAAGGCAATCATGACTAGGTTATTAACGTTATTCCTAACAGCAGAATGTTTTCTTCAATGGAAATATGAAAACTTTCTAAGAGATTTATTAATAACCATGGGACAAAATTCTCTATCAGTGGCAACTGCTGTTAAATAATTGTATTCACTACCAAGTAGAGATTCAGAGGAACAACTTTGAGAGTGCGAAAACCATGATAGTAAAAAGAAGCCATTCTTTGTTTAGTCGGGTGACATGACTTAACATGGGAAGGCAAGCGAACAGAAAAGATTTATGGTAAACAGTAGTGTTGAAATCAAATTCATTGCAGATTATAAGAATATCAAGGAAGGGAAGCATATTGTCAGATTCAGATTCAAATGTGAACTGGATGGAGTCATGAAACTGATAACTGAAGGACCTCCCCAAAGTTCACAAAACTGGAACTCCTCTTCGACCTATAGTTTTCAAGTTAGGAATGTATATAAGCAGCCAAACTGTAAATTACATTTCAAATCTTTTAGCCAAATATTTATTTTTCATATTTTCTACATTACTTTCTAATATTTACACTGTAAAAAATTCTTTTGAAATCGTTGATAAACTTAAACATATTTCTCCCCTGAGCTCCATTATGGTTTCATTCGATGTTAAATCTCTGTTTACTAACGTTCCAGTCGAAGGATCATTTAAATGCCTTGAAACTAGGCTTTGAGAATTGTGTTTCTCGTATCCTAAAATTGGAGAGAAGAATTTTCACTTACTAAAGTCTCTTTAAATCAAACTAACTTTGTTTTCCAAAATAAATATTATCGCCAAATTGAAGGATTAGCTATGGGTAATCCTCTCAGTCCTATACTTGCTGACATTTACATGCACTATTTCGAAGTTGAATTATTTGAGAAATTATCTTTTCGTCTCTGGATTCGCTATGTTGACGACACTTTCACGCTTACAGATACTATTTCTGACTTCAATTTTTGGGGAATTTATAGCATATCTTAGTATTGTTCAAGATACATCGGCCAAACCAAAAGAGCATTAAAGTTTCACAGTAGGGGACATGAATTTTATGTCCAAAAAGATGATATTTACAAGTTTATGATTGCTAATCATAGTTGGAAATTTAATCACAATTTCGACATTGGGTTTGCAAAAATTATTCAGGAAAGTTCTTCCACTGGAGAATTAGATTTTCTTGAAGCTTTTCATATTCACAAAAATTTACCATGTTTAATTAATGATTTTAATCCAATCCTTCTTATTGCTTTTAAATCTTCATTATCATAATTTTTCAATTTTCACTATTATTTCTATTAACAGATGGCACTACTCTCTCAACTTCCTTAGATTGAGTTCAGATGGTGATGTAAATGTCACAGAGGCATACTCACAAGGAATAAAATGCGAGAATTCCATCCACACCTGTAGCACAGACTGGTTGCCTTGGCTTAAACCATTTATGCCCTTTGTACCATCATCTGAATGCAGCTATATGTTCATGACTTGGTTCTTCAGTTGCAGATTTCTTTGCTCTTGATAAAGAGGGGCTTTGTTAGTCCTCAAAATCGATAGAGTTTCTATGCTAAAAATCTACGCCTTACAGTATCACATATTTCCTGTACTTCTGATTCTGATCTTTCTGATTATTCTGCAGTTTATGCAATGAACATATTACCAATTTGAGGTAATTATTAACTTTAAACAAATGTCATAAAAGCCTGTTCTGGGAATAGAAATAAAAATTACTTTTTCATATTTGAAATGTAATTTACAGTTTGGCTTCTTATATACAATAAATATTTACACAACTAAATTTAAATGGTGACTGTTGTCAGTTACCAGTAATTTAAAAGGAAGTTACAGAGATGTTTTCCTAAGCATCTCTAATTGCTCTTCCCGTCTGAATAAACTTTATCATTATTATAAGATATTCATTTTTGATCTCCCATTATATGTTTAGAATTTTAATTACCTCTGCCAAAAATTTGTCATCAATTGATCCACTAATTATTCGGTTTTAATGAAAGCTTCCCGCCACCACAAATATTATCTGCACAAACAGTTTGTGTTGGCATGTTGCCATTTGGAAGAAAGAGACTTGCTTTAGTGTTGTGAAATTTGTAAAAAAAATATCGTTATCATTAAGTGCAAGGTGTCTGAAATGGAACTATCACACTATCAGAATAGAAACATCATTTACTTTCAGTTCGGCTGCAAGAAGTCAGCTATAGAATGTCACTAAATCATGTGTATAAATTTAGGTACTAATGCTGTATCATATGAACCTCTGAAAGTTTGGTACCGAAAGTTCTAAAACAAAAGATTATGACTTTCAAGTAACTCAAGAAGCAAGCTCTGGCTGGCCTACTGAAATTGATGAGGCCCGTATGCGAGAACTTGTGGAAGAAGAACCATTCTAAAGCTTGCTAAGGAGTTAGACGTTAGTGCCATGTATCACATAAACTTGACATACAAGTTCAATTCCTGGGTGCCACATGGGCTGACTCAAGCAGATAAGAACAGACGGGTTAGGGCCTGCACTAATATGCTTGAATATCAATGCAAGGACAAGATTTTGAACCGGATCTTCTCTTGTGACGAAAAGTGGATTTACTTCAACAACACAGGCAGCATCACAAAGTGAAATTTGAGTAATAAAAAGATCATGCTTTGTATCTGGTGGGACTGCCATTGTATTATCCACAAAAAGTGTCTGGAAAAAGGTTAAAAACCTCAACAGGAAGGTGTACAGCAAGATGCTACTCTGTGTTAAAGCTGCTATCATGAAAAATTATTCAACTGAGTTCCGATGCATAAAGGTAATGTTCCATCAAGATAATACAAGACTGCATTCACTGACTGGACTGTGTACGAACTCGAATGTGATCTTTTGCCGCACCCACCATACAGCCCTGACATCGCTACTTTGGACTTCTACCTTTTTTCACACCTGCAGCTACATCTTATTAGAGCTATCTTCCATTCTACACAGGACATCCAAAATGAGGTTGATGTGTTTTTGGACTCGCTGTCACCAAGTTTCTGGGCCAAAGGTTTTGATGAACTACCAAAATGTTGGCAGAGGTGATTACTACCCACATTAAAGATACTGGTTTCTTGTCCCCCACCAACTGTATTAAGAATGTTTTTTTGGCGGAAAACTTTCGTTACAACCAGATATTTTAAAATTTTAACTTTTACTAACAGGTATTGACATTTTTATAGAAATTCAATTAAACAAATGTGCAGTTTTCAGTTTTCATACTGTTAATAACAGTTATAACAGTCAAACAGTTATAACAGTTATATTATTATATATATATAGTTATAACAGTTATAACAATTATTTATTAACAGTTATAACAGTTATAACATACTGTTAATAACAGTTATAACAGTCAAAATATTACCCAATGGATGAATGTAATATGATAGGGACTTTCAAATATACTTATGTAAGAACTCGTAAATAGTCCCTTTTAATTGAAATTTGTAAATAAAACATGTACAAATAAATTTCAAGGAGGTACAAAAATAATTAAATAAAATGCATATGTACAATTGCTATATAATTTTCAAAATATACATAAGTACTTAAACAAAATAAAATAGAAAAGCTCAATTACTCTTGTTCCTCTTATATTGATAGGTCTACGAAAATTAATATGTATATTTTTGGTTCCATCTTCATTAACAGTAACTGCAACTCTTTTCAAAGTTTTATTTCCACAATTTGGACAAAACTTCTTTGTGATATTACTGGTGGTCCTAAATTAAAAAGAAATTACAATTAAAAGTACACACAATGAAAACAGTAAAAATTAAGAATTTATTTAATTAAAATCAAACATGCATATATACACAATTAAAACTAGTAATATGAAAATAATTGTTAAATGGGTTATTTGCCAGAGATGGGAAACTGTTATGAGACACAACCATATTAAAATTAAAAAACAGTTTTCGGGGCAGATATTTTTAATGCAAATAAGATATAAAGAGGTTTTGCACCTCTTACTCATGCTGTTGATTATACTATCAGATAGTTTAGAACCATGTTTCCCAACGTAAGGCCCACGCCCCACAAGGGAGAAATCTGACTGTTAAGGGGGACAATTCAAAAATGGACTCGTCTAGAGTTTAAGGGGACAAAGGATGTTCTAAATATGTTTCATGAAGTCAAAATTTTTCGAAATTTCATTTTTTATTCCCCAAAATAAAGAAAAATGTAAGTGATGTATACGTAAAAAAGTTTTTAAATTGTGGTGCATTTTAAATATTTTACAAACAATTCTCACTGTAGACATGGACATTTAAATAACTGACACATTATGTTTTCCAGACGTTTCTCGCACATTTCAGCCAACGAATTTATTTTATTTTTTAGTGTAGGAATGGCAACCAGTGTATTATTCTTTCCTTGAATAGCAACAGCAGTTGCTTTCAGCTTTGTTTATATTGATCTTATATTTATTTCTTTCAACCCTTAGTGAAATGAGGGGTGCAAGCAAGAAAAAAACATTCGTCAGTATTCGGAGGCATATTTAAAATTTGGTTTCATACCCGGTCAACTTTTGTCTTTTATGCCAATAATGCTTGACCAATGAATTAATGAAACTAGGTTGTCTTGAGGCACATTTGAAGGCAAAACATAATGCTGATATTAATTCATATTTGAATTATTTTCACACTTTAAGGAAAATTTTTGAAAAAAGAGTAATATTAAAGTCTCTATTTACTGCTCATAATGAATGCAACTGTTAATCGTGCTCTTGAGGCTATCAAATTTCATTACTCATCGCTTAATCTGGGAAAAGCCGTACTATAGGGGAGAATTGAATAAAACCATCAATATCAGCATTTAAAACATGTTCAAGAAAAAGATGACAAAGACGTTAAAGCTGTGCCACTAAATAACAATACTGTTTGCAGAAGAAAGATTAAATGAGGATATTGAAATACAACTTGTTGAAAAGCTGAAAATAAGAAAATTTTTGGTGCAAATGGATGAACCAACTTAGATATATTCATAAAGGGGATTTTGCTGAAGAAATGTTCTTCTGTAAATCATTAGAAAACACCACTACCTCCAAAGATATTTGTAGTAAGCTAAAAAATTACTTAGATATAAAAAATATACCAATAAAAAATATAATACATCTTGTACTGCAGATGGTGCTCCTAATATGATGGTTGAAAAATAAAATAAAGCACGGAATAAGAAAAAGGGTTGCTTAAAATTGATAAAAGACGAGAATCCAGAAATGCTTCTTGTGCATTGTGTTATTCATAGAGAAAACCTGCTAGCTAAAAACAATTCCAATTCTCCTGTTCTAAATGAAGTACTAAATTCAGTTATAAAGTGTAAGTGCTACTAAAGCTAGGGCCAAATGTGAACGTCTTTTAAAGTTATTTTATGAAGAACAAAATGAAGACTATATGAGACTTGTACTTCACTTTCAATTTCACACTGACTTCAATTACACTGAAGTAAGAAGGCTGTCGAAAGGGAACTGCTTGGAAAGATTTATGGAACTATTTGACACTCGTAGTTATTTTATAAGCGACAAATCTGAAATGAAAAATCCGTTAACAGATGATAACAAGGCAATTGTTGGTTATTTAGCCGATATCTTTGAAAAATTAAATATATAACTTCAAGGAGCAAATAAAACTTATGTCGATGCAAAAGGAAGATATTTGGTTTCATTATCTTTGTTGAATTATGTCAGGCATATACTATTTACCACAAAAATTTTGAAAAGTCTCATTGGTTCCAAAAATGTGGCGTGACTACTTCTATACCTGTTACTGATACCGCTATACTTGTTATTGTCGATCATCTGAAAATTTTATCGGCTGATTTGAAAGATTTTGTAACTTAAAACAAATTGATTTTCCAACTTGGATGATGCTGCCAATGCTAGTGGATTTGGCTGATATTTCAAATATGCAGTAAAAAGAACTCGCAGAAATGCAAAATGATGAGTCAATTAAAACTTCATTTAATATAAAAGGAGCGATGATATAGCTTTGTTAGGAAACCAGAATCAGATATCCAAATGCAACAAAATTTGCAAGAGAACTATTGTTACCGTTTCTGTCTTCATATTTTGCTGAATGTGGATTTAGTGCCATAAATGATTCGCTGCTAAATGAAACCGGAAGACTTGAGACTCAAGTTATCTAAATTAGAACCTGACATAAAATTTCTTTGCAGCAAGTATCAAGCGCAAGGAACTCGCTAAATTTAAATAATAAAAATTACTAATACTTAAAATGGAAAACTTTCACTAAAATGAGTTTTTTCTCGAATTTCAGCTCTCCATGTTTTTAAAGTTCACTTACTGTGTTTGCTCACAAAATTTCGTAGTCATTTCTTCTTAAAAGCTATCATTTTTAAGTTTCTTTGGAGAACATTTCAATTTTTAAATATTAAAAATTATGCATATGCTAGGGGAGCTTAAAAATTTTAGAGATAATTATGTGGGGCATAGCACAAAAAAGGTTGGGAAACACTGGTTTAGAAGGAACAAAAACAATATATGTTATAATCATAGTTATAGCTTGTTTAAAGATATGGGTTTCATATGTCTCAATTATATTATGATGTGGTAATCAAAACAGCTAGTCAATCTCCTGAATACCTTACTTGTCAAGATAATGATTAACTATACATGTACTACAATGATGGATAATATCATCAATCAAAATAACAGGAATTGCCAATTGTATAAGTATTTGGTCTTCATATAATTCTAGGATATTGTTCTAATAAATTCAAACTGAGTTAGATCCTGCAGGAAACATACACAGGCCAGTATGAGCTGCTTAAACTGAATTGTAACAAAACAATGACATTAGCACCTCAGTAAGTATTACTCTACTGGCTGTAATTTGTTCCTTATTTCCTCCAGATCATAGCATGGTAAAAGTCAGATTTTAACCCTTTGTGGCTCAGTGTTCCACTACATGGAACACCCAAATTGAATCGCTTCTGAAACCTTTAAATTCAACCGTAAATAGATAAAAATGCCTTTATAATATACTTTGAACTTTTCTTTTTAAACAGTAGATAGCAGCATATCACAAGGAAACACAGAATTTTCATTTATTATGTGTTATTAAAATCCACTTTTTTTCAAGTAATGTTCTCTATTTTTTTAATGATATAAAAAATTTTATTTAGAAAAAAAATTAGGCATAATTTTGCTGGTCTGTACTCCAAATTATTGTTCTATAATTTTTTTTAATCTTTCATACAAAAATCATACGCAGAATCATTGACCGGGCGTTCCATTAGCAGGAACAATGTGCCTTTAGCGATCTCATGCTCTTATGAATCAGAACATCTGTGCTTAGGAGACAACATCCGTTGTTTACGTTTTCTGTTTCCTTTGTTTTGGGGGGGGGGGAATGAATTTCAAAACAAAGCAGTATTGAGGGGTGAGGTGTTGTTTTGTGTTATGAAAGCCCTAATATTGGCATCTCGAATTTTTTGGGAGTAGTTTTTAGGCGGGAATTTTATTAGTAGCTTGACTCATCTTTACTTAGACCTGCGTGAATTTTTTGCTGTCACATTTTAGTCTCATTTCCGTTTATTTTCAATAATTGTGTAGATATTTTTCGTGTATGTATATATTATAGGCTTATTTTTCTTTGTTGTTAATATTAATCGTAGTTAATTTTTTTATTATTAATTTTCCATAAATGGCACGGAGAGGTCCAACTCTTTCTGAAGCTCTCTTTCCAAAAATTTGTAAATATTTTTGTATATAGGACTTGTGTATATAAATATTTATCTCATTTATCCGTATGTATTCAAGAATATTGTGTATATCCGGGAACCCATGTATACAGCCATAATACAGAGTTTTTTCATTCTTATACAAATGCTTCTACTCATTTTTGTGCTTCACTGCAATGCTCGCTTAGTCGCACTTTTAAAAGCTCTGGCAGCACAGTGTTCCACCTCATGGAACACCCACAGAATTAAAATGGTAAGTGCAATTTTTATAAAATTTTACTTGTATACTCCTTTAGGACTAAATGGACTGCATACAACTTTTTTTGTTGAAATTCCAACATTAACGTGTAGTGCGCCGCAAAGGGTTAAAGAGTACCTAGACTTATCTGCGATATGCCTTCATGCAGTTGAAAGTGTGAGACAGCAGTCCTCAGAAAGCGCATTACCAATGAATAGCCTGCCTTGGATCATCTTGACACTGTACATTCACTAAGGAACTGATTCTATAATTAGTGGATAACACTATGGCTAACATTTGGATGACTTGTTGCTGCAACCTATGACATGCCCATTTTTATTCAGCCAAATGTTTAATATCTTGGAGGATTTGACAAATTATTTGTCTGTGACATTGTTTATAATATTTCTCATATAAATCTTCAACAAACGAATTTTTCTCAGTCTTGCATTTAATAATCTCCCAAACAAAAGTAGCCCTCTAATTCACTGTTGCATATATTCTTTATTACTTAAAATTATTTTGAGTGCTTTGATAATTCATAGATGTGATGTATTCCAGCTGTAAAATCTCTAAATTTTAAAGCAGGATTATATTCCTCTATTATGGTCTGAAGGGAGAGCAAAAATTAAGACACTATTTGAGATGTATTCAAATGCCTATATCTTACTAACTACAAATGTTACGATCAATCTAAATACATCATTAGACAGATGAAAGAGCACATTAGCACACACACACATACAAATAAATAAATAAATAAAATTTGACAAATGGAATATGCATAATAACATGCCAAAAATACCAAAATTTTGCATGCATGACCATGTACAAGTGCCAATGTCATCTGTTAGACAGTCAGTAACTGCTAATGGACAGTCACGATTTATTCTAGCATATTCATCTAACTGGTAATTCAGGAGATTCGATGATGTTCTTGCTTAGTAGATGGATGAAATATTCTGAGACTGCTGTTATTGATCGATGCGAAGTTTACTGTAGATACAGATGTTCTTATCATTATGATAACAGATTTCAATGTGGATATCAAACCAAACAAAGCATTTGATTTTATGAAATATCATTTTAATCTCAATATGGTGCCAAGTAACTATCCAAGTGCACTTGGCAATTCATTTATAGATTTAACATTTACTAGGAATATAACTGCAGGGATCTTAAATAATGTATCATATTTCTCATATTATCAATCAGTTTTACATAGGATCATTTTGAATGAACAAGTGTAATAAATAAAAAATAAAATATATGTGTGTATGTAAAATCTTTTGTTTGTTTTATTTGTTCTATAACATCCTCACACTTCTGTTAGTAACACCACACATTAAACATTAGCGGCGGCTCTTTAAACTAAAAGACAGAGCCTACCATCATTTTTTTTTTTCCCCTGAGAACAGAAGCATGTAAAGTTAGAAAATTGTTTTAAAAACTATGGTGCATCATTTAAATTCAGTAAGCCAGAGGAAAGAACCACCTAGATGATGGAAAATTGCCATACGGCAGACAAATGTAGACAAATAAGAGATTCAATAACCAGTTTGGCTTTGATTTCAGTCAACCATTTAAAATTACACACAATAAAGGGGGGGGGAGAAAGAAACCTTAGTTTGACATAGATTTTGAATAGCTCAGTCGATTTTCAGGGCAATCAGACACACTGCTGTTAATGTCGGCTCACTTTTCAAACTGTTGCCACCAAATATTACAGCCCTGCATTATATTTAAAGAAATTAAATAATGAAGAATTTCCATAAATGTATGTATGTTTCTAACATAGTGTTAAAACAACGCTACCTAGAGCCATCAAGTTTTGAATAACATACGTTTCCACCAGAATATGGGCACCTGGAAGCCCGAATTTGAAATATAGAACATAATGTTTAAAAAATGCCCCTTTGGATGTAATGTAAAATCTGAAAGCATTCAGTTTTTTTTTTTCCCTTACATTTGACATTATCATGTTTGACATTATCATTTGACATTAAAATGTTTAAAAAATGCCCCTTTGGGTGTAATGTAAAATTTGAAAGCATTCAGATTCTTTGGGGGGAGGGGACTTACATGTGACATTATCATGTTTTCTTCCAATGATGGATGCCCTTCGAGTATTAATATTAAGGGTAGAGCATTGTTTAAACAATTTCCAGAAACACTATATACAGTTGATAAATGAACTTTTGCATGAAAGACACTGGTGTTTCTTAAACAAACTCTCATATTTTTCTAATTAAAATTACAAAAGTACATGATCGCATTAAGAAACACCTATCATAGGTTAAAGATGATAATACTAACATTCAAACAGCATGTTATAATTCATGTTCTTCACTCTAGTATAATAAAATCCCTATAAAACATTTGATGATGGTGTCATGAACATAAAACGAGTGCATTCATGAGTTTTAGCAAATCAATGAAAACTGAATATTGAGTGAAAGCAAACTAAAAGAGCCTAGACTGTACATCAACCCGTCATCAAGTAATTACGCAAGTACATCAAGTAATTACGCAAGTGGAACAGCTTGTTATAACAGATTATCAACTGAATATTGATACAGTGACAACCACAGCCAAAAAAATGTTTTGAAAATAAAGTTTCCTTTAGCATTGCAAGATTAATATGAAAAAGATGCAACTGTATTCTTATTAAAAATTTTAAAAAAGGTAGGGAGAATTTAGAAAGACTTCTCTCATGCCTTCAATAAGAATAAAGTTGCATCATTAATAAAATTACTATGCAGGGAAATTTCAAAAACTACAGCTTTTAATTTTTGGAAGCCATACCTGTTGTTTGCACCAATTCATTGAATTCTCATTCATGTTCAGAAGTTCCTTACTGACTACAGCCTTAGAACAGTTGCTCATATTCCATGACCTCTAAGCAATTTTAAGCAAGAGAAGCTCACATGGCATTCATAATATACAAGAAAACCTCACATAAGCAACAAAACAGTCGAGAAATGAAACTCGAACAAACTAAAACTGTTTCAGCAAGTTTGAATATTGGAAGTTTCATTGTACTGTAAATTTCTAACTTGAAATTATTGTTTCAATGGAAAACATTTTGAAATTCTTAGCATATGGAGCTATTTATCATTACAGCATCAATCAAATTGTTCTACATTAAAAACAAATATGATTTATCATTTTATAATTTATAATCACTAAAGACAGAGCTGATACACATTTGGCACAAAATCTTCATTTCATCCACAATAAAACATATATCTATTCATGATAAATATTAAAAGGGATATCTTACTTAAAGCAAGCATAGCAGCGTAAAATGAAAACACGTGCTTGTTTGATTAGCATACCATCTACTGAAACAACATGAAGACCCATTTGAAGCAGAACATTCTAAAAAAGAAATAATTAAATTATGAAAGTTGAACTCAAACTCAAGGATTAGGTTACATTGCTCTAAGCATATTTTAAAGTTAAAAAAAATTTAACTCTTTTTTTACTCCCTTACATGAAGTAAAGGAGGTACTGTAATCACAAAAAAATTCCAGTATCATATTCCAATGGAAATATCCATTTTGACACATCCTGAATCCATTCAGACAATTGTTTTGCATCACTTTTGTACTCATGGACAAGAATATAGGATTCTTTTTTCCAAAACTGAATTAAAATGAATTTTTCTGCAACATCCATCTATCAATCCATACGTATCTATCTCACATAATTAAAAAAAAATTAGCTATAGAATGTTAACATTTTGTATATGGAACTGCTATAACATTTAGTTGTGCATATCCCCTTTTTTTTTTGCAATTTCCTTTTGAGATCCCCAGCCAAAGGTACATTCAAGCTGTGCAGCATGACTGCAAATACATGCAGTTCTGTTTACTAAATATAAAAATGTTTTTAAACTTAATTTATAAAAATGAATGCATCAGCTGCATAAAGATAATTTTAGTTCCTTAATTTTTAAACACTTTTCATAGATAAAAAAATTTTAATTAAAAATAACAACTTGAATTTCCTGTGCGCTTCCAAAGGCACCAATTATTTCTTAAAATATAGAAAACTGATATCCAGAAATTGCACAGAAGCTATATAAAATGTAGCAATTAAATTATACAGATACTACTTACTTGGATTGCAAAATCAGTTGTGATGCAACCCACAGTTGTTGAAGTACTTTCTTCTAATGCCAAAAACCCCATCTTTTTTTGTATTTCGGCGATATTATTTGGAGTAATCCAGCCTTCTTCATCAGAATCTGTATGAGATACATTTTCTGTACTGATATTTCCTATATTGCTATTGTCTTCTGTGCTGTTTTCAACTGATGCAGAGTTTTCAGTTGGTTTCTCATCTGCAGAACAATTTAATGTACCTTCTTCACTAGAAGACTCCTCGCCTAAACTGTTGACGTCTTCCTAATAATAATATAAAATACAAATCACAGAGGCTAAATAACACATATATTTTGTTTTCATCAATTGATAACACTGTGAACCAAATTCACAATAGGAAAAAAATGATTTTTTTATAAAAATGATTTGCACAATGAATAAAAATCCAAACTTTAATATTAACACACTTGTTTTTATTTAATGTTTCTATTTCTAGATTTGAGCTGCATCAAACACTACTGTTCTACGTAACATTGCTCACTACTATTTTATATAATAGTGCTCAAATTAGCTCAAGCGGCATTTCAGTTTAATTTCCTTATACAATATCTATGCTTAAATTGCACAAAAGAAATTGATATACATTAGCTATGTACAAAAAATATAGCCAATAACTTTTATAGTGTTTGAATAATTTTTTATGGACATATAAATTTTCATACAAAAAAAAAAAAAAAAAAATTCCTAACAATTTAAGATGTGCTGTAAATTAAATCCTAATGGAAGACATACAAAATTTGATTCTGGTAAACGATGTGCTAAATTCTTGTTTCTGTCTTAAAAATTCTAATACAGATGCTATTTAATTATGATTTTCATATATAAAATCTTTTTACATTTAAAAATTCAAAAGGTTTAAAAGATACAGAAACAAGGCAAAAATCACTAATTCTATATGAGAAAAAAAGTACAAAATGTTCAATCTTGAAAAGCATTGAACAAAAATGTACATGCAAAGAACAATAAAATAATGATATCCATCATACAATATCAATTTATTGCAATAAAAAACAATAACCAAAACACAAAAAATCAAATTACAACAAACGTGACTAATGCAGTTCTATGGAAAGTTTTATATATATACAGGATGTTTTATATTGAATGGGACAAAAAGAATAGCACAGTACAAATTCTATAATTGATTTATTTAGCTGAAACAAATTAATTCTGAAACTAAAATTATATAAGTTTTACCTGGCAACAGTGAAAAATCTTCCAGTTACGAAATCACTGCCAGAGGCATTATTAATCAAAATGGCACCATCCATGCAGGTGAAAACATACTGTGTTTTGGAATATGCCAAAATATCATCACTTATTGTTGTTCCAAGATACTTTTGCACGAAATTTAGTAAAGAACCACAACACCAAATGGTGGAAAAACCAATTTCAGGACAAGGTTCCCAACAGTTATGTTTTTTGGTCCGTTTTTTTTCATGGAAAAATTTATTAGCATGTGCATTTACTAACCAACTGCTATTAAATTGGTTGTTTCCTCAGATGGAATAAGCAATTCCTGGCTTCATTCTGCAGCAAGACAGTGCTCCACCACATTGGCTTAAAACATATACCAGCCACCTGAATGATAGTCTACCCATTGCTAGATTGGCTAAGCTGGATCAAACGCTAAACCATTGCTTTGTTGGTCACTGAGATCCCCAGATCTAACCCCTTGTGATTTTGTTTCTAATGGGGTTTTGTTAAAGACAAAGTGTTTGTGCCTCCATTTCCCCAGGACTTATAGCAACTGTAGCAGCAGATAACTGAAGTGCTCGAATAATTAATAAAGCATATTCTATGTGTGTGGAAGGAACAGGAATACCACATAGATATTTGCCATGTCACTGAAAGGCCACACATAGACATCTATAGAAGCTTAGATAACTATAGTTTCACTTTAAATTTGATTTATCAAAATAAATAATTACAGTGTTCACAGGCATGCTTTCTTTTTGTCCCATTCAATATGAAACATCCTATACTAATTAAAACAAATGCAACATAACACATAGCTGCCAACCTTGAAATCTTTAAAATCAGGAGGTTCATACTGCATCATGATGACATTTCAAAGGAGCTCCAAACTAACTTTAATTCACTTAACAATACATGGTTCAAGTTATTGAATTGTATATAATTTAATTCAGATGTGAAATATATTAGCATTTAATTGGATGTTCTAAATTTTACATTCTTTAGTTAATTTCACTTAGCAATTTTTTTACACTTTTATATCAAGAAAATCCTGAATCCTTTAAATATGATGAAAATTAAATTAATAATTAATGCATATAGCGTTTGTGTGGATAAACTTAATAATGCACTGTCAAATAAAATTTAAAAATACAAAAATCAATAAAATGTAATAAGAAAAAATACAGGTCACATAAAATATGGTTTAACATGAAAGATTACTCTGAAAATCAATAGAGGTGAAGAAACAGAATTTGCCTAATTTAAGTCCTTAATTCAATAAATTTCATTTATTGCTGGAAAACATTTTTCTCAGTACAGGCTAAAAATTAAAAATCAGGAGATTCGATGATTTAAAGGGAGACCAGGAGATGTGATGAAAAACTGCAAGAGCTGACAGCTATGATAGGCACATCTGAGAACAGGCAAAGTGAATGTACGAGCTGAAGATGCAGTCAGCTGAATAATGTTCATGTTTACATAGTGCCAAACTTTTTTTCATATTTGCTACAAATTGATGAAAGTAGACACAAATGACACAAAAATACTAATTTAGTATCTGAAAACTCTACAAAATATCAAAATGTTTAATGTCATTAGTCTGTGTTGAAGCTGCAATCAGGAATAATTTGTAAAGCAATTTAAAGTGGAACCCTAAGTTTCAAAACTTTTATTTTGAAAAAGAGGTAAAATGTTACTTTTGAATAATACAATCTATAGGATCTATTATAGGCCAATTGCTTCGATGTTGCTCTTCTGCTTCTCCCTTCCCTCCTCCTTTTTTTGTTGCTGTTGTTGCCGTTTTTTACCACTAAAAAATTGTGACCCGGACAACAGCTGAGGTTACAAAAAATATTACAAACATAAAAAAGATCATGTTTAAAAATCTGCATATGTAGTTAAGGAAATGAAAATAAATTGACATTTTGATTTTAAACTACTAAGATGCACTCAGCTGATCAATGTTTATGTTTACAAATGCTTTCAAAAATAGCAATAATGGAAAAACAAATCTGAGAGAGATGGTTGAGCAATCAGAACATTTGATAACATCAGCACCGAGTAGTCAAAAAATTTCAATTCTTTGGGTTCACTCCAAGAGAGTTAGTATCAATAATGGCACATCATTCAGGACTGAAAACAAGGTTTGAACATTGTACAGAACACTACATTGATTGGCATTTTAATTTAAAGCATCAGAAATTTTCTTTTCTTCTCACGCCACTCTTTTTTAATGGGGGGCACAGAATTTTTCCTGTACAGTTTAAATTTCTAAATTAATCATTTCAGAAGCATATTGTTGCTTTATAAAAATATTAGTATATGTAACTAATATAGCAAAGTTTCAACACATCCTCAGAAATGAAATGTTCTGCTGAATTAGATCGAAGGTTTATTTAGCCATAATTATTAAAAAAATTAACAACATATATGTATAACCCACATTAAATGGTCATCTGCTAGATACTTCAGTGCTATCAACCTCTCTAGTATTATACAGTCAAAAATCATTAATCCGGACTCGTCGGGACTTCGGCGATTCCGGATTATCGATTTTTCCGGATTATAGATCATCAGTGTAAAATATGGTAAGATGGCATGCAATTAAAAATATGAAACCGTAATTTATGAAATAAAGAACAATTATGATCTAAAGGGTATCAAAATTTTGAAAAAAAAAAAAAAAAAAAAACTTAATATTTATTTGTTTACTTTATTAAACATTTCTTTCAATGTAAGTTGTTCAAGTTGCTTTGTTTTTTATGTGATAATACACAAGTCCTATAATTGCTGTGTCGAGAATACCGACTAATTTGTCAATCGAAATTTTTTCGTTTTCAATAACCTCTGTCACTTTCTTCGCTATCGGAAGCGAATTATAATGACGAGGAATTTGATTTAAATCATATCAAAGAGAGTACATTGAGATGAAATACTACATTTAGTAAGGAATTATAAGCCAAATAAAATAAAAACATCTGCCCTGAAGATAAGTATAGTGCTGACAGATCAACTTCCAATTCATAGCGTGCGCCGCGGGCATCCCCCACCCTACCCCCCGCCGCAGAGCAGCGTGAAATTGATAAACAGATTTCGGAATGGTTAGAGAAACAAAGGATATGCCTTTATCCATTTTTTGCAGCAAATTCACTTTTTCTTTGATGGACATCGAAACATACTTTTGCTTGGTAGATGCTTTAGGAGCTCCAGGATCGGAAATTCTATTTGACATAATCGAAAGTTCAAGCTTACTTTTATAAAATTGCTCTAACAATCTGCAAAAAATAATAAGCCGGATCCAATTCGAAGATTAAGGAACAACGCAATCTGCAACATTAACTGAAATAGATAATTAGATAATTTTAGCTTATACCGTCCGTTATACATTAAATGTGCATGCACACACGCATATTCGCAGCCGTAAAGGTCTTACGCGCATGTGTGAACGCGACGCATGCACAGAAAGTTTGTAGCTTTGAGGTCCGGATTATAGATCATTCCGGATTATGGGTGTCCAAATTAACGACTTTTGACTGTATCATAACATGATGATCACAAGCTATTTGGTTAAATATACAACCAATCACATGCCATGGTTTACTCCAAAGGTATTAAGGAATCCTAGGTAGTAAGAAAAATTACTTAACCTACTCTAAAATGATCAGCCAGAGATGGTTGGCTGAATTCAGAGCACTAAAATTCAGTATTAGTGTTTATTTATATTCTCAGGTCATTTTCAGAGGGTCTTATTTGGAAAGGTGGTTGTCATGACATGATTTATTGTATTTTGAATGTGAATATAAGTGCAATAATACATATGATGCTCTAATATATTTATGAAAACTAGATGAAGAAGGAAAATCACAGTAGTCATGCCATAATAAATAAATAACTTTTTAATCTGACATATGTCATAAAATTTTAAATAATTAATTAAAATCACTTTTATTTCAAAAGGAACATAGGGCCTGCAAAACAGATTAATTTTTAGTTTGCAAAGCAATAATTTTTAAATTGTATACTATGCAACTTGAATGCCCAACTTT